CTTAATATTGATATCACAGAGAATATCATCAATAAATCATAATTTGGTTTGATGTTTATACAGATTATATCACATATTATCATATTTTCAAAGTTAGTGGTGGTTTCTATGCTTAAATGATGATAGAAAAGCTTGAACCAAGTTAAATTCTTCCAACAGTAACTTTTTCAAGTAGATGGATTCAAGATCAGATAGGACAGTTATTATTATAGAATACAAAAATGACAGAAATCTGGGTTCTGTTGAAAGGTAGTGTAATATTTCACATCCATGTCATACACCAAACATTTTCCCATTTGGTGCACACAAGCAGCTAAACACTTCACTTAGGGCCTGCTATCAAAAGGCAGAGAAAATAGATCTTTGAGACAGTATGGGCCAGAGTATAATATTAACATTAATATTGTCCCCAAGGGGACAGCTTTTCATCAGCTATATTCATTGGGCTTTCACTTTATCACATTTGTTAAATTTTCAGGGAAAAAATAATCTTTTAATGGAAAAAATGTTATTAGTAAATAAAAGGAGTTGTTTGCATCTGCTCTTTTCATGCCTCATCTTTGTCTTCCCTTTTTGCCTATTCAGACTTACAGTATAGTAAGCCACTGTAAAATTTCCCAGTAGCATATAATAGTAAAAGAAAAAGGTTTCAGTTCCTGTTAATTAGTAAGTATGCCCCCCAAAATACACAGATTGAGACATGTAAAATCCTCAGTGTTCTTATATAGCAATGGAAATAAAATTGACATAGAACTTCACTAAAAAGAACCATTTCTGATCTCAAGACTAGACTAAGATAAAATCCCTATTCTAAATGTCTAGTAATAGAGAACATGAGCACCCATAAAGAAAAATAACATCATATGGAGACTTCTTCATTTATATATATAATGTTTGGCATCCAAGCAAAAAGTTTTAGGTATGCCAAGACACAGGGTTGAATCACCCTTGGTTTATTCTAGTGAAAAAGTTGAAAGTAGAAATATACTCTGAGGTTGTCTTGGTATGGGGTACGAATTATAATAATTCTATAGTAATTAACTGGTTAAAATGAAGAAAAAGAGAGAGAATATGTCAAAAACAATCCAGATAATTGAAATATATGGAAAAGGAATTAACACTTAAAAATAGAGACATGAAAACTAAAGCTAAGAACTAAGAGTAGAAAAGTTTCTGACTATGATGTTTTACCAAAAGACAATGCACATTGGATTTTATTAACGTTCGTTTTGAATAATTACAGTATTCTTCTCTTTAATTTTTTCTGTTTTCTTTTTCTTTTTTTTTAAAGATAGACTCTTGTTATGTAACCCAGGCTAGCCTAGAGCTCACTGATACAATGAGTCTCTGCCTCTGACTCCTGAGTGCTAGGATTATAGTAATGTATCATGGTGCCTGGTAACTTTAATTGCTATATTTAATTTATTGATTTTTAATACTAATATGCATTTCTAAGATAAATTCATTCATTTCAGTCACTTACTACTACAGTTTTTGCAACTTTTTTGAATAATTTTTGTGTCTATGCTTATGAGTGAAATTAGCTGTTTTGATATCAGAGTTGTATTTGCCTCATAATTGAGCAAAAGTATTTTCTATCATAATGTTCCTGGAAAGAGTCTGTGAAAGCTTGGAATAAAGTTTTGTTGAATATATCACCTCCAAATCTCTCCTTAATCTTCTCTCTCTTACCTTCACTTTTCTCTTCTTTTGAAGTCTAAATCTTTTTTTTATTGGATATTTTCACTATTTACATTTCAAATGTTATCCTCTTTCCTGGTTTCCCACTCCTCAGAAATCGCCTATCCCATCATTCTCCCCCTGCTTCTTTCTATGAGGGTGTCCCACCACCCATCCACCCACTCCCACCTCCCCGCCTTGGCATTCCCCTACATTGAGCCTTCACAGGACCAAAAGCCACTTCTCCCATTGATGTTTGGCAAGGCCATCCTCTACTACATATGCGGCTGGAGCCATGGGTCCCTCCATGTGTACTCCTTGGTTGATGGTTTAGTCCTTGGGAGCTGTGAGGTGTCTGGTAGGTTGATATTGTTGTTCTTCCTATGGGGTTGCAAACCTCTTCAGCTCCTTCAGTCCTTTCACTGATTCCTCCATTGAGGAACTCATGCTGAGTTCAATGGTTGGCTGTGAACATCCACCTCTGTATTTGTCAGGCTCTGGTAGAGCTTCTCAGGAGACAGCTATATCAGGCTCCTGACGCAAGCACTTCTTGGTATCCACAGTAGTGTCTGCATTTGGTGACTGTATATGGAATGAATCCCCAGGTGAAGCAGTCTCCACAACAAAAAAGTACTTTCTCTTTTCCTTGAGGACTAATATTTCTCTTGACAATTCCTGATAATGCACTGAACCTGGTCTAAATTTTATGTATAGTTAATTTGTATTTTTTCCTCATTTCCTAATTTGATCAAGGTGATGATTAATAAAGATAAAAATAAATAATCAAAATGTGATAGTGTATCAGTAATGATGGCATATGACTGTAATTTCAGCACTTGGGAGACTAGAGTAGGAGAATCACTGCTGAATTATAAACCAGCCTGAATTACTGAGTTCAAGAGCAAGCTAATCAGCCTGGAATACAAACTGAGTTCAAGGCCAGTCTGGACTACACAGTAAGTATGTATCTCAAGAAAATGTGATAAGATCTACCACAATAAGACTAATAGATTTAATAACTGAACTTTTTAGAACATGTTGAATAAGTACATTTAAGAGACATTGTGTCAAAATTTAAATGGAAACATGTGTATGTCCTCCTTAAAAGTGATTCAAAAGTTCAGCTCCTAATTTGGGACACTAGCACAATGGCAGAACATTGAGTTAGCATGTAGGAGGCCCTGAATTAAATTAAATTCTATCAGAAAAAGCAAAGTTCATCTCTCACTCAAATAAAAGAGATGGGGGTGGTAGCTCATACTTGGAAACAATTAGTGATTATCAACCTTGAGAGATTTGGGAAATATTTATAGGAAGGAAAACTTAGGAATTATTCAAACAAAGGGAACTGTTAGAAAATGCAACAGGTATAGACAAGGTCTAATGAATCTAAGAAAACTTAATAAACATCAATTGTCACAAAATCACAATCAAAATGTCAGTAGATAGGCTCTGGGGTTAAGAATGGGATATTTTCTGTAGGATGTGACAGATAAAGTATGTAAATTTTATTTTTAAAACAAGTCAATGAAGAGTTTCATTTATTTCAAAATGTAAGATTAAATTTATGCTTAAAACATATAATTTGAGCTTCTGTGCAAGAAATAGTTCAGATAGGGCCCTTTCAGGCGATTATGACTGTAAATAATGGATGTAATGACTATTCCTGGTTGTCAACTTGACTTTATCTGGAATGAACTAAAATCCAGAATTAGAGGGGTCACCTGTGATCCAGATCGTGAAGCATAGTGGCTAGGGAAAGTTTAGGCCCAAGCAAGGTAGTACACACCTCTAATCCCAGAAGACTGAGGCAAAAAATTCTCTGAGTTCAAGGTCAGCCTGGGACAAAGCAAGTCCCAGATCTAGTTACATGCCTTTGATTTGAGCCACACCTTCTGCTGGAGGTCTACATAAGGATATTGGAAGAAGGAAGATACACTCTCTTCTTTGACTGTTGGCACTTACTTGCCAGCACATCTGTTGGAACCTACTTCTACAGAAGACCAGCTGAAACAACTAATCTCTTGGGACTGAGCAATTACTAGATTCTTGGACTTCCCATTCACAGCTGATCATTGTTGGGTTAGTTGGACTACAAACAGTAAGTCATCACAATAAATTCCCTCAATATAGAGAGACATTCCAGAAGTTCTGTGACTCTAGAGAACCCTGACTAATACAATGGGCTATGAAAGATTGTAGCAAAGACTAAGATGATGAGATAGATGAATTTGGTAATACTTGATAGATAAATCTTTAGAACTCCATAACAGGTTATTGGGAGTGAAGAACAAAATAGAGCTAAGAACAAAAGTCAAGTATCAAGCAGGAAAACTTACTGGTAATGTTACCACTAAGTGTTAGTTGGAACAAAGAAGAGGAATACATATCTTTTTTCTTTAGATGTCTCAAAATACAATATCTTCCCTATAGATCAACTGTAAAATAACAAGTTTTCCTTAAAGCAGGTCAGAGAAACCTACAGAACATTTCTAAAACAGACATCAATTCTTTTCTATTCTTGTTCTGTAAATTAGGCATTATGTTATATATGTTCTAATTTTCTACTTTATAGAATATAGTTATAATATAGACAAGTATACCATCTTCTTTTCTTGAGACAATGAGCATGAGATAGTTAGCAATCTCTCACAGGGCCAGCAATGATCTCAACTTCCTAGTAGTCATATGCCCTTTGTGTAATCTTCTTGGGTAGAAATTGAACTTTTGACCCAGAATAACTGATAGCATAATTTCTAGGTTAAATTCTAAAAGTGCTCTGGCTTCTATTTTGGATGTTATATATCATTTCATGTCTTACCTGTCTCATTATGCAGGAGACTACCCATATAAAGTTATATGGGGCCATTATATCAGGCTCATTACAACTAGTTGAGAACATGACAGTGGATTAATTTCCCAATGAGACATGAGATGACTGAAGACATGGCTTACCACTTAATCACTATATTCAAGAAACAACTATCTATAATCAATTTTTCTAAGCTGTTTCCACACTCCTAATTACCTAAGACCATAAGATAATAAATGTTTGTCCTGAATAAGTATAGTAACACTTACAAATAATTCTAATATTCAGAAGTTAAAAGCAGGATGATCATGAGTTTGGTGCCAATTTTGGTTATACAGCAAGTTCCAAGACAACCTGGGCTGCATAGCAAAACTCTGTCTTTAAATTAATCAATAAATAAAACAAATATGTAGGTTCTTAGCCACTACATTTTAAACTAATTTGTTACACAGAAATAGCTAAGTAATACATTTGGCTTGCTAGCAGAAATGTCAGAATGAGTCAAATGTTTGATGAATAGTGATTATAAACTATCTTATTTATTAACAGGTTAAAAATGATACATTAACAGAACCTTATTTAATAGAGAAATAACAACGTAAAAATGGATATAATTATCCCCTAACACACTGGAGATGATAGTACTTCTGGGTTGTTCTATGGTCATGTAGTTCAAGGATTTTTATGGTCATGTAATGATAGGATTGGAATTATTAATCTTTTATGGATGGATGGATGGATGGGAAAAATCAATAAGACATTTTAACAAAGAAATAGGAATATTTTCCAGAGATAAAAAAAATCTCTGTATGATTCCTATTACCAAGGACTGTGTTCAAAAGGAAACTGGGTATGTCAATTATCTAATAAGTGGGACTTGAAATTTTCTTTCAGCTTACATCTTATGTGACTTTGTAGAGTGAAAGTAGCAAGATTTAGGGGCTAGAGATTGATTTGGCAATTGTTAAGAGTCTAACATTTCATTCAACCCGCACCTCTTTTTTGTAGTATTTGGGACTAAACTCAAGGACACTCATGCACCAGGCCATATATGAGATATATCCACACCTGCAGCTAGCAGTGTATTCAAACCACCAGTGCAACAGTGTTTCCTAAAAGAAACCACCCAGGCATGTTTCACCATCTTTAAGGGATATGGTTATTGCTATCAGTTGGTTAATATTTGTCTTCTGCTTGATATGGGAAGTCCACGACAAATATTCTCTTCCCTGGATGTGTGTAAGACAGAGATCCAGTCAAAGAAGGAATAAGAGGAAGCTAAAATGCCAGGCAGGCAGGTAATTGTTTAAGTCCTCATGGAATGGGTGCTTTGACTTTCTAGAGAGAAGTAAATCACTTAAGCAGGGGGTAGGTGCAAGTCACAGCCCTAAAGCCTGGCTGGTTTTGTCAATCTGGCAGTTCAGTGTCAGTGCAAAGGACATCCCCAGCACCTGAGAAAAGAATTGAGAATATGTGAGGTCTTCAGAAGAGAAAACATTTCTCCCACAGTTCCAGAATTCGCTAACACAGAAAAGCAAGATTTCCATCACATTGTGAGCACTCCCCAAGCACCATTCCCCACTACAGAATTTCTCTCTTTAACTTTAAGAATAACATTAGAGAAAATGGGGGACAATTGTAATATGGTAGACAAGTAGCTTTTGGAAACATTTTTTTAAGAAATCAAAAAATTAGCTATATAAACAAGTTACCCTCAGGGAACAGTACAAGAAAAATAAGTCAACTCTGGCAAAGCCTTATGTTTCCTTTACTTTTGTCTTCCTTTTATTTCTTGACTAAGTCTTAAGTTATATAGAATATGCCCAACATTGGGTAGAAAATAGTGTTATGAATACCACACATCAAAACAAGACAAACTTTACCTTTCACTAGTCAAACCAGGTGCCATCATGAAGGGAAAATTATTCTAATTTCCATCATCACTTCCTTCTTAACATAGAAGGTCAAGTTTTTAAGTGAGTTGTTTTATCTTAATCATGTCCAGACCAGCTAAGTTAGTGACTAAAGTGGGATTCTGATTGGCCCTCTTAATTTGTCTGTGACTCATTCATATCTCTAAAGGATATATGTGTGTGTGTGTGTGTATGTGTGTGTGTGTGTGTGTGTGTGTGTGTGTGTTTGTATGTATACATTCCTATAACAAATTTTCTGGAAGCATTAAGTTGAATTGATAATATAATCATTTGATCCTTGGCTAGAGTAACACATAAATAATATATTATTTATTGCCTCATTCTGCTTCCCTAGTACTTTTCTAGGACTTTGTGGTTTAACTAAGTTAATTCTTAAAGGGATCCTGGGATTAAGCTCTTACCTGTATCACACATACACAGATGGTAACGATTCCAATATACAAGAAATTGGAGTGAAACCACGATTGTGCTTTATTATAACAACCCTGTGGGGGTGGAATTACAGGCATTAATGACACCTTTCAATATGTCACCCTTATCAAGATGCAGATGTTATGTTTTTATTTGCCTTGCTTGTTTGAAGAAACACACATAAAGTAGAGAACATTAAGTCAGTAACATTTCTCCTGATATTATCAAAATACTTGTACCTAACACAGAACTCTTACCTCTTAAGTTAAACTAGCCCTCAGAGATAAGTCAGAAACATGTGTCCTTATATCATTTGAACACTCAGTGCTGATCTTAGATTAATATATAGGATTATAGATATTGTGATCTTTGGATCAAGGTGTATCTCAAGACAGCTTCAATAGCCAGTATCATAAGCCTATAAAATTCTAGACTTGTTGACTGTTGGTCACCATGTTCCCCAAGCCTCTACAAACACCACCCTAACCCCATGGAACTATACACCTCTGTAGATTTCCAAACTCAGGAAAAAGTAACATGGAATCAAGACAATATCTTAATTTACTTAGTTTATTTTGTTTAATGGAAAATAACTGTTTTCTCCTACATGAAGAGAGACCCAAAATTAAGAGTCAAGATGGTTTCTAAAACACTCTTTTTCTCAAGCTCTCATTCCCCACTTACATTTAGTTCATTTCACAAAAGGAATGGATCTGCCTTCTCCAAAAGAGAAGACAAGTAGGTACCTGACAAGCTAGTCTACCCTAATTCTGTAAATTATACTTTAAACAAAATAATAACTATACTTTGTTCAAGATAGATACACCTCATGGCTATTTTTATACAAACTACCCACTACACGCACACTCCCTTAATAGTGTAACAAAATATTCTTCATAGTGTCTCTTAACTGCATTAACCTGCTCCTAGATTTTGGAAGCTTCTATAGTTATTGAGGGATGCTTCTCTGTTCTTTCTTGTTGTTGGTGTTGTAGTGGTGGTGGTGGTGGGTGGTGGTGGTGCTAGTGGTGCTAGTGGTGTCCAAAGTTTCCTGTTTCTAGGTGGAAGGTTTAAGTGCTTTCTAGAACACTCTCTGATGTAATTAAAGGTTCAAACAAAAAAAGCTAACAAGATAATTGTCAACAAAATTACCTGAATATCTGCACCTGATGGGCAGGAAGATGGTGGACCACTGGTCCAATCACTTGAGCCATTTACACCGCAACACTGCAGCTGGAAGTCAAGTCCCCCAAACATAATGATTAGGAAATCAACAGAAAAACAAAACAGAAAACTTGTCATTATACTAAAGAGTATGCTTATCATTCAGCTCTGGCTCCAGAGAAGAAAATTCAGAATTGCTCTACTGCTACAGACTCTTTGGAACTAAATGTTCATAAGTCTGTTATACCATTTTATTCACAAAACATCTCTAGAAAGTTCAGAAGACATGATCCATTTATATATTTACCTACCAAGTTCTTTCTACCCAAAGACCTTATAACACAGAATTAAACCTCAATTGATTCCTGAGATTATTGAATAACAGAATAATTAGATACCTGCTTACATGAGAAAACAGGAAGTACCTGCTATAGTGGTATTACATATAGGAGAAACATATGATCCAGCTATACTGCTCTTGGACATAACAATCAAAAGATACTATATCCTACTAAAGAGATACTGGCTCATCCATTTTTATTGCTACTCTATTCACAGTAGCCAGAAAATGTAAACAACCAAATGTTCATCAACTGATAAAACTGATACTGAAAATGTAGTATGCTTACACAATGCAATATTATTCTTAAGAAAAATTAAATTAAGAACATTTTAGGTAAATGGATGAATGTGGAATCAACCACACTGAGGAATGTAAACTAGTCTTAGAAAAAATTACATATTTTCTTCTATATGTGGATGCTAACCTTGAATGTTTAGATTATTTTGTTGAAATTGGAGTATATATAGAGGTCAGAAAACTAGTAGAGGAGAATGGGGGTAATCTCAGGAAAGAGAAGATAGAATTCTGTCATATAGAGGAGAAAAATGTAATGTGAATAGTTAAGTGAGATGGGAGAGAAGAATAAGGGATGAAATAATGGAAGGGATAACTAACAGTAAAGAGCTCTTGAAAAAAATATGGAAACACACTACTGTACAAGTTTCCACATAGATATAAAGAAATGTAATGGGGTCACCCTATAACTTGGCAATAATGCCACTACTAGACCCCCACAGACTAACAAAATAAGCCTTCATTGGAGTTGTTGGCCATTGAGGTCCTGTAGCTGAAGCCACCACGTACATGAATCATGGAACATGGAGAGATCAAGCTGGATTGATTTGGAAGTTTGATTCTTAGTGGCTAGATTTCATGGTGCTGGAAGGTTCTGTGCAAGCTACCAGAGGAAAAAACTAATCCTGTATTTTATAGAGTTGTGTGCCCTGAGTGCTGTAATAATGATCACATAGGGATATATTACCATTAGAGCTATCGTGATGTAAATGTTGTGGGTATAAACTAATAACTTTCTACTTGGATTTAAGACATATACATAAATTAGGACACATAACTGGAATCATTTTGAGGCACATGAATCTATGACTAAGTGGGTTATATAGGCCCTTGTGGAGAACCTACTAGTATTATTTTGCTAAATGAACATAATATCAAATCAATTTCTAGTGACATGTTACTGTATCCAGAATGAATGTATCATTGAACCATCAACAAGGAAGCTTCTTTTTTAATGGATGATGATTAACACAGAGGCCTACAACTGGTCAAGGTGCAGAGAGTAAGAGACAATGGGGTATTCATCCCCAAATTGGACATCTATATTACACCATCTTCTCCCAAAGGATTGATGTGGAAAAGTGGGCAGAAAGGTGTAAGAGCCAGAAGTAGTGTATGGCTATAAGGAAACAGTATTTTGTGGATACAACAAGTGCAGTTTCACATAGGAACTCACAGCAATTGTGTCAGCGTTCACAAAACCAGAACAATCATAAAGGGTAGAATGGGCAGGAAGTCCCATTCCTAGCTGGAGTTACTGGCATGCAATTGCTGCTGGAATAAAGAGACCCTGCTTTCTTTAAGGATTAGCCACAGGCAGGTGAACTACACTCCTGGGGATAACCTTATTGAAAAGTACATAGGCAGCATTAACTGATCTCAGTGAGTTCATAAACAAAATGAGGATACAAATTTAGGTGAGTATAGAATTGGGGTGGATCTGGGAGGAGTTGAGGGGTCAATATAATCAGAGTACATATATGAAATTCTCAATAAAAATAATATTTTAAAAGAAGAGAGAAGAGGAGAGAATGAAACTTCGGCAAGTCTCTAGATTCACAGTACTGGGAAACAGATTTCCTGACATCAAAATACCTCTGTGAATAAACCAGCCAGATACAGAAAGTGATAAAATCTGTAGGACATATAACCTAATTTTTGTTCACATACACATAACAGATAGTGGGATATTGTTAAAGAATAAAAGAAAATTTGCGACATGGTATCCAAATATAATATTTGGACCTCTTTGATATATTAATTTGTTCAAATCAGTTGAAATTTTTTTTTAGAAAAAATTAGAATGATTGGGATATAGAGTGTTTGATATTTGAGGATTTATATGTAGATGTGTGTGTCTGTGTGTGTGTGTGACTGTATGTTCACTATATGTATTTGGGAACATGTGGAAGCCAGAAAAGGGACTCAGATCATTTGAAATTGGAGTTCAGGGAGTTGTGAGCAACCATGTATGTCCTCTAACAAAACCCAGATCTTCTGGCAAAGCAATAAGGGATCTTAACCACTGACCAAGACTCTTTAGTGGGTGAGATGATGGAAGGTTCCATACTGTATTTTCTTTAGAATATTTTAGAAAACAATGTTTAGGGGATTAAATGAGGTGATGGTGACTAAGTCAATGTGAAGTGTATCAAGAGGTTTATTTTGTTTTATTTTTCACTTTGTTGTGTGTTTGAAGTTTAAAAGGCACTTGCAATATGAATTGAAACAGATGAGGAATTTGAAATCTAGAGGGGTTTTCCAAGTCCTCTTGTTCTTGTATCTATTTTGTAATTTCTTATGTTATTATTATCTACTCCATATTAATCCATCATGGGAAATGTTGATACTTTTTGAGACGTTGATTATGCCTATGCTTTGCTCTCTAGCCAATGTTTGTTCCCTAACATTCTAAGGCAAGAATACAGAGTTGGTATATGTCCATGGGTGTGGGAGAAGCTTGGAGAATGTGACACTGGAGGTCTATGTTAAAATACAATAATTTTGGTGAGTTGGACATTTAAAAGAAGTTTCTTCTGTTTTGCTGCTATTTTGATAACATTTTGAAGAATAAGTAACCAATACAATATGATTTATTCAGATCTTCTTTTTATCCTGTTAGGGCTAAAGCAATGATTTTATGTGAGTTGGTAAAGAATGAAATAGAAAGCAGAAACTTTTGTACCAATTGGATTAACTCCTATACCCTCCTGCCTCTGAGAGCAAAGACATTCCTTTGGACTTTAGAACTGAAGATCTTAGAGTCTGAAACGTTTAGGAAAGAGATATTTGTTTCCAGAGTCTAGTCTGGGATCAGTCTGACTCATCTGAGCAAGATCCTTTATGTACTTACTTGTGACTGGATGAAGTCCCATGCCATCATGGTGCTGTTGTCAGAGTGATAATGTTGGATACTGTCATTCAGACCCTCAGCCACTAAGGTGCTGAGCTGTGGCAAATCATAATGCACCAGAGAAGACATAGTAAAAACAAGATGAATTCAAGAAATTAGAGATTTCTAGTGGACCAAATTGATGCCCAACCCCCATCAAGGAGTTAGAGCTACAAAAGGGAGGTATAGGAGACTATATTGGAAGACAAGCTGAAGGTTATATGGTATCTAAGGAAGAATATATATATATATATATATATATATATATATATATATATATAATCATTCTTCTAGTTTTACAAAAGCCATGGTCATACTTTACTGAGAAGACTGAAAGGGAACACAGAGAAAAGTAGGCAAGAAGACAGGTTTGCTTCATCTTCTCTCTAGTTTCCTTTCAAGACATCGTTCAAATACAATCTTCATGACATTTTTTCTCTCGATTGCAGTTGATCTCTCATTCTCTTACTTCATTTGTATAGCTTAGTACTAATTTGATTTTACTAACTTCGCCACTGTGTATTCTACTTCTCAGCAATAAAAGAGTAGGCCATGTTTTCATAACTTACCTTTTGTTCATACACAAAGAGCAGGATGGCTAAGGTCACCTCAGCAAGCAGAATAATCAGCAGCAGAACAAAGAACTGTAATAAAGCAGAGCAAATGAGTCTACAAACTCTGCTTTGGGAGCAAATGAGTCTACAAACTAATATTGGTTTATAAATCGCTTGTATGGTAAAAGATGCTATGATGGTTAGCTTTAATTATCAACTTGACAACTTAGAATCGATTGGTAATTTCTCAGTAAATTGAGGATTGGTCTAGATTAGTTTGATCTGTGGGCATGTGTGGGGGACTGTTTTAATTGTGAATTAAAGTGTGAATAAAGAAAGCTACCTGAGAATACACAGCAAGTGATCAAGTATTCATATATTTGTTCTCTATTTGCTCCTGACTGTAGATGTAATGCTTTAAGTTCCTTTCATGAATAATGGACTGTACTCTTGTATTAATAAGATCAAATACCTTTCTATTTTAAGTTTTTCTTTTTCAATGTATTTTATCACAGCAACATAAAGGAAATAAAATAAGAAATTGACACCAAGGAAGTTTTACTGTGGTGAACCTGGTGATATTACTTTGAGGAATAAGGAAGATTGGAACTTTGATTTTAAAAAAATCCATTAAGTGATGTGGGTAGAGCTTAATGGAATATTTGTGTGGGATGATAAAAAAGGAATTACTAAGAGTGGAGGTCCAGATCTTAGTCATTAACTAGCCTAGAGGATATTTTGTAACATTTTGGCTCAGAACCTGTGTGTGATGTTCACGCTGGAGCAGTAGAAAGCTATGATCTATCAGAAATTGGCATCATTGAAGTAAATCCTCATGTACTTCACTGGCATGATACAATCAGGATAGGAGGCTTTTTAGTTCAGTATGTTACACAGTAATCTGTGTATACTGTTCATATGGGAACTGAAAAAAGCAGCTATGGTTGCCAAAGAGATCAGTACCACTGAAGTGAACTCCTTGTGTTTCATTGGAACAATAGAAATTGTTTCCTCAGAGTCATCACACAGAAGCTGATATAGCTTTGGCCCAATAGGAAAAACTACATATTGGACTTGCAGCAGAATCTGGAAATGTAACAGTCATTCCTATGGCACTAATTTTAAAAGCATGAAATGGTTATGGAGGGAAACAAAATATTGGAACTTTGAGGTAGGTTTGGATTTTTTGTAGAAAGGCCCTGAGAGGCCACTAGTAGAGATGATGCCTTAGTTTCAGTGGAGACCCCACCCCACAGCACTGGAAATGCCAACATCTACCAAGGAGAGCTATCATTGTAGAGTGGAGCTGGCATGCTCCCAAGACAGAATCTGCGTGTACTACAGGAAACATTACTGGAGGGGTGATACTACCCAAGTTCTTTGGAACCCAGAACACAATGCACAGAGTCTAGACATAGGAACTTCAAGATTTGGTCTATTCACTACTGACTTTTCTTTATGTTGTTGTTGAGATTTTTAATATAATTATATTATTTCCCCTTTCATTTCCTCCTTCCAAACTCTCCTATAAAAGTTTCCTTGCTCTTTTTCTAATCTATAGCCTTTTTAAAAAATTAACTCTTGATGTATTCACAAATACAACCTAACACTGGATTTTTGTTTCTTTGAGCGTGGTTGTTTTTACTTCCTGTTTCTTCTATTTCAGAATAGCAATGCTTACATATATAATTTCTTTTTATTTTACAGGAGCTCACATTAAAAGATCTTGGAGTTTGAAGTCTTGAAAATTTTGTAGGGCTTTGGGGAATTTCTAGAATCAGACTATATTTTGTATTCTGATACTAACATGAGACAAAGGATAGAAAGTTATGGCTCAAAGTAATCTGTTCATGCATCTTAAATTGACAAAGGACTGTATTGGTTAGTTTATGTTATTAACTTGACACAACCTAGAATCAAATGAAAATAACTTTACTTGAGAAATTAATTAATCCAAGTTAGCCTGTGGGGATGCTTGTTAGGGGTTGTCTTTATGTTGGCTAGTATGGGAAGGTCCAAGCCACTATGCCTACAATTTTCATAGGGTGTCATCTGAGTTGCAAAAGAATGAAAAGAATCAGTATGTAATCTGTGTGTTTATTGCCTCTCTGCTCTTTTTTTTTTCAAAAACAAAGTTTCTTTTTGTAACCCTGGCTGTTCTGTAGGCCTTGCTCTGTAGACCTTGTTAGCCCCAAACTCAGAGATTAACTTGCCTCTGACTCCTGAATGCTAGAACTAAAGGCATGTGCCACCACTGCCTGCCCCTCTGCTCTTGATTATGGATGTTTCCCAAAAGTAATATACCATGGAACGTATTATCCCAAACTTGAGCCATCATCTACCCAAACTCAGAGTATCACAGCTACTACAATGACTCACCGACATAAGCAGGCACTTATTCTCCTTGATTGAGCCCATGCAACCCAGGAAGGCAACTACCATGATAACGGAGCCCACAATGACCAGAACATTGCCAAGGGTCAGGAAGGGGAGGTTACGGAAGAGTACTCCATAGGTATTTTGGACCAGGAAGTGGATCCCAAAGCCCAAAATGCAACAGCCACAGATCTGAAAGGAAGAAATCCATTGCATTCTAAGGTTAATATTGTTCTTAAGTATCTCTTTATTTATATTCTCACCTTCTTAAGATCAGAATTACCTGGTTCAGAATTACCATGGTTTGCTCAGGTAAGACTCATGAGCTCACCTCTTTACTAAGTTCTCCACTATCATAATAGAAAGGAAATACCAGCTTCTTCATGTAGATGTACTCTCATATCTTTTACTACATACTTCCAGATACCAAGAAAACGTCATCTTTATGAGGGAACTACTACCTTCACTATACAGAAGCCTAACATAATACTTTAGATGTTCTATCTCTTATCGACTCAGTTGTCCACACACGGCCTTTCTTTTGGAGAGTATTACCATGTAGAAGAGTCACTCTCTTTGACGAAGGTCATCTTGATAGGAAGACTACAAAAGAAACCAAACTTATGATATTCACCTCTTCTTTTCATGTTGAATTTCAAGCATGAGTTTACGTGTGTCTGTAAACTACATTTTTATTATTTCATATTAATTATACAAAAACTTTCAGTTTTATATTTTTACACATCAAACATATAATGTACTTTAAACATACTCACTGCTCTATTAATCTTTCTTATCTGCTTTCTCTTTTGCATTTTCTCCTTCCCACTTCCAATAGTTCCCCTTTTAGTTAAATGCTTTTCATATTTTTCTTACCTTCCACAAATGAAGGAAGATGAAATATTTTTCTAAGTAGGAATGACTTATTTAAAAGTAACCTCAAGTTTTATCTATTTTTCTTCATGATTTCATTCTTCATTGTGGCTAAGAAAACATCTGTTATGTACATATACCACATTTAGACATGTACATTTATACAGTCACCTGTTGATGGATATCTAGTCTGTGTCAACAGTTTAGCTATTGATAATGATGCAGTGAAAAGAATGGATGCACAACCATCTTTGCCATAAGATGATTATGATTCTCTTGGGAGACAAAATGAGAAGTAAAATGGCTAAATCATGTGGATGTTTAAAAAAAGAAGAAGAAAAACAAAAAATCCAATCAACAAATAAACAGTGGAAATGAATAGACAGTTTTAAAAGAATGAAGTGCAAATGATCAATAATTAAATAAAAAAATGTTCAACATCTCTAGCTACATCAAAACTACATGGAGACACTCTTCCGTCCCATCAGAATGATGGTCATAAAAAAAAAAAAACCTATCAATAACATTTAACCAGGATAATAGAAAGGAACTATTTCACACTGTTGTTGAGAATATAATTAGCCTAGATACTACAGAAGGCAGCATAGATTTTTTTTTTATTTAGAAGTAGAACTACTGTATGAATTCTCTGTCAATATTCTTCCATGCCATTGGGGATGGGGAGAGGGTAGAATTTAACACCCAAATTGTAATCTATTTGTTTTACAAATGTCAGCTATTTGCAATGCATCCCTAAAGCCCCAGAGAGAATGGGCAACTTCATTATTAATTTCTCTGATATTTTTCAATTTTGTAGACTTATAGTATCACATGATGGCAGGGAAGAAATTATTACTGATTTGTGCCTAAGTGAAGTGGTCTAGATATTACCCAAGCATGCATAGTTCATATTCTGTACTATACTCTTCCTTGGTAAGAAAGAACAGCTGAGATGGAATGAAGGATTATTAATTCAGACATATTCAAAGGAGCTACTTACCCAAAAAAGCAAGTTAAAGAAAAACAGAACATATTTCAGCAATTTCAGGCTGCTCATGCCCATGCTGGGATAGTATGCCCTAAAACAACAAAAGGAAGAAGAAAAGAAGTTTTAGATGAATTTGATATTATAGGATAGCATCACAGACTCTAAAATGAGGTTGTTCAGAATCCAAGGATCATCACCATCATCCTGTGTTTAAGCTTTATCTATCATCTGGAAAAATTTTCCCAAACCCCCAATTTCACATGTTGAAAATTGAAGCCATATTTGAAAAGCTATGTTTGGTGTTATAGCAAGCCCCATGACCCAACATAGAACCATTCTAACAAAAAGATGAGTCACAGAGACACAAACTAAGCCAGTGCCTTTGGTCCTGTGTGACATTAGTGACTAATGTCTGGCTACTCAAGAAAACAGCCTTTGCAGTCAAAATTGACTTATCAATCAGGACAAAAGGCCAATGATCTGATAAGACAGTTCTTTAACTGTCTTGAGATTCATTATATACTAAATATGTTGTTATTGTTTTATTTTCATGATTGTATTTTAATTACAATATCTCTCTTCCCTTTCCTCCCTCCAAACCCTCTCATATGCGCTTCCTCACTCTCCTTCCAATTCACGGCCTCTTTTTTTCACTTGATATTGAATGGCCTGTAAAGCTTCTGAAAGTATGAGGAGATATGCCTATCCTTCATTTATCCTTTTATGTACAACCATCTATATTTCTGTTCTAAGTATGACTTTGACAAAGGATTAGATATTTTCAAGTAGATGTCAGTGTTATGGCAGAAATTAAACACACAAATATATATTGAGAAAGTTGAAAGAGACCACAATATGAGCACAGTCTTCCAAATGACACTATCATTTTAGCAAAGACACCACTCTGTGACTGTGAATGTGTATGATGTATATAAATGGTATATTACATATATATATATATATATATATATATATATATATATATATATGCACCAGAGGAGCACATCAGGTTTCCATCTCTATCATTCTTTGATTTATGCCCTTGGACAGGACACTACACACTAGGAGGTTACAAGGGAGGCAAATGCAGTAAAAGTGAGAGAGAGAGAATGGGGAAGAATAGAGAAAGGAAAGCAAAAGGCATGCATGCACACACATGAGAGAGAGAGAGAGAGAGAGAGAGAGAGAGAGAGAGAGAGAGAGAGAGAGAGAGAATTATATCTAGGTAATGCCCATCTAGATAAACCACGGTAATCTCTCATTTCAAGATGTGCATATGATGACATGTGCCTGTAATCCCAATGCTGGGGATGCTTAGGCCCGAGAGTTAACAATTTAAGGTCATCCTAGGTTACATAATAAGTTCCTACATGTGTGTGTATGTGTGTGTGTGTGTGCACATGCATCTATACATACATCCAAACTGAGCTACTAAAAAGATACTACTTCAATGCTTAAAATAAAAATACACTAGAATATATTAATGGAAGAATAGATATTACATAAAAAATTAGTGAACTTTTAGGTAGTAAAGACAGACAACAAAGATTTAAATAATAGAGCACTTCTAAATGAAGAAGCAATATTAAGTATCATAATTTTTATGTAATGGGGGTCCCCAAAGGAACAGAGAGAAAAATATTTGAAGAATTAATATCCATAATAAATTCTGACTAGATTAAAATAATTTACTTACATGCCAAAGAAGCTCAATGAAAGTTATGCTCTATAGTAAATTTATTATAAATTACCAAACCAGTGATAAAAATGAAGTCTTAAAATAACCAAAAGAAACAAAATATATTAGAGAAAAAGGAGCTAATCTAAGAATAAAAAAAGACATATCAGAAGATAGTCAATTCAGGAGAAAAGGAGAAATTTGTTTAAGATATTAAAACATACTCAAAAAGTCACCTCAGTATTTCATATTCAATAAATATTGACAAAAAACAAAAATGGAGACTATAAAATATATATGAGATTTATGCATGACATTCAAAATGTAACTATAACATGTACAAAAGCTGTGGGAATTTCTATCTAGCAGATCCACATTATGAGAAATAGTCAGAGAAAATTTCCAGGCAAATTGTTAGAGCAGAGGCAAGACAACATGACTGTCATGGAAAACTAGGCCATGCTTTCTTATTAGCTGTTGTTTGAATCTTAAATAGTCCCAAAGGTCTCATATATTAAATGAAAACTTGGTCAACAGCTAATAATGCTATCAAAGGTGTTTGATTCTTTGGGAGATGCAGCCTGTTTTCAAGATTTAGGCCATTGGGCACATGTGATTGCAGGACATATCTTTGTGTGTGTGGGGGGGGTATTGGATATTTTATTTACATTTCAGATGTTATCCCCTGTGTGTCCGCTTCCAGATGGGTCCCATGAGGATCTCTGACCGGGCTGAGGACAGGGTGTGATCGGTGGCTGTCTGACTTCCTTTGTCCACAGGCAGCCCAAGAGGGACAACGGGGAGCAGACAGGAGAGTCCGCTTCTGCCCCTGCCACCAACCGCGTCTCAGTGTCTCAGTCTCAGCGTCTCAGCGGTGGCAGAGAGGAGACATGTGTTACAGCTCTTTGAAAAGTGTTACAGCTCTTTGAAGTGCCTCAGTGAGGCACTGGGTGATCGGCGAAGAGGAGAGGGACTGCGACAGAAGCTCTCAGACACCTTTACCTTTGAGCTTGGCCTATATATACAGTTTGGGGATGGGTTAAGGTCTGGCAGCAGGTAACCCCTATTGGCTTGGTCTGAGAGCTTGGGAATGCTACTCCTACGTGATCAATGACCATGGACCTCTCTGTGGGAAGGACTGTGGAGAACTGAAGCTGAGAGAGCCAGATGTCTGGGAAAAGCCCGAAGCACCTTCTGTCCCAATGGCCTTCTTCAGGTCAGGGTGCCGGGGTTCTAGAGCTCTTCTACCAGGCTTTCCAGCCTTTTCTCATAGCTCACTGCCCCACAATCCCCATCCCCCCTGCCCAGGAACCCCCTATCCCATCGCCCCTCCTCCTGCTTTTTTGTGGATGTGCCCCTACCTACCCCCACTACTCCCACCTCCTGACCCTCAAATTTCCCCACACACGCTGTCCAGCCTTCATGGGATCAAGGATCTCCTCTCCTACCTATGCCCAACAGGACCATCCTCCCTTACATATACAGCTGGAGCCATGGATGGATCCCTTCCTAAGTGCTCCCAGGCTGGTGGTTTAGACCCTGGGAGCTCTGGTTGGTTGGTATTGTTGCTCTCCTCATGGGGCCGCAAACCCTTTCAGCTCCTTCAGTCTTCACTCTAATTCCTCAGTTGGGAATCCCTTGATCAGTTCAATGGTTAGCTGTGAACATCTGCCTCTGAATATGTCGAACTCTGGCAGACCCCTAAGGACACATGATGCAGTATGCACTTCCTGACATCCACATCAGCATCTACCTTTGGTGACTGCACATGGGATGGATACCCAGGTGAAATGGTCTCCAGACGGCCCCTCCTTCAGTTTCTGTCCCATACTTTGTCTCCATATTTGCTCCCTTGAGTATTTTGTTACTCCTTCTGAGAAGGATGGAAGCGCCCCCACTTGGTCTTCCTTCTTCATGAGCTTCAGATGATCTGTGAGTTGAATCTTGGGTATTTAAAGCTTCTGGGCTAATACCCACTTATCAGTGAGTGGATACCATGTGTGTTCTTTTGTTACTGGGCTACCTCACTCAGGATGATATTTTCTAGTTCTATCCATTTACCTAAGAATTTCTCAAATTCATTGCTTTTAATAGCTGAGTAATACTCCATTGTGTATATGTACCACATTTTTTATATCCATTCCTCTGTTGAAGGACATCTGGGTTCTTCCCAGCTTCTGGCTATTATAAATAAGGCTGCTATGAACATAGTGGAGCATATTTCCTTGTTATATGTTGGAGCATTTTCTGGTTATATGCCCAGGAGTGGTATAGCTGGGTAGGGTATATCTTTTTATATGTCTCCTTCTCTCCTCCCTCTCTTCCATTTCTCCCTTTCCCTCTCTCTTGCTCAAACACTATGAGTAAACAATTTTGCTCTCTTTTGTGCTTTCACCACAATGTTTGAGGCTGAGAACACACCCAAAATAACAAGAACCACACCTTTGAAATTATGACTCAAAGTGAAAATTTCCTCTTTTTGGTTGATTTCCTTGGTTGTTGTTGTTGTTATTTTGTTGTTGTTTGATTGGTTGGTTGATTGGGGTTTTGTTGTCACAGTTAACTATCACATTTTAAAAATATCTTTAAAAGGTACTTGACAGTGAAGAACAGTACTATATGAAGTTAAGAATATATATAAAGGGGAAGTTTTTAAAAGCAGTAACATTGCGTCTAGGAAAGAAGAATGAAAATTCATGTATTGGAAATGTGGTATCATTAACTCAAAGCAACTGTGGTTATATACACTGTTGCCCTCTATAAAATCCCAGCCTGAATTTAGAAAATCTCATGAGGCCCAGAACTTACTTGCACTTGGAGTTGATGAGTGGTGTGAAATAGAGAGTGGGAACCAAAATTTTTTGAAAGAGTGGTCACTGCTCATTTGCCAATGATCTAGTAGATGCTTCACACCAATGCATGCATTGACTGAACTCAGTTGGATTCATGATGTTTTGGGAGGCTGGGAGTGATTATAGTCATAATGCATTAATATGCATCCAAACAATTCTCAAAAATAAAGAGAAATAATATTTTAAATTAATAATTATAGCTTAGGGGTCCAACAGAGAAGAAGGGAGCTCAATACAGAAGGAACAGGTGGGGTGAGGGACAAAGATAGCACATGATGTAATCCTAACACTTGCTTGTAAACACTCAAAAACAAAGGCAGGAGGATGGTCACATGTTCTGGAACAACCTATGATATATAGTTAGACCCTGTTGCAAAAAAAGTAATTACATATATCTGTGGAGTAGAATAGCAAGTTCTTGGGCATTTTCCAGGAGTTTTATGTTTATTGCTAGCCCAATCACAATAGCCAGATCTTTTCCCCCTTTTAACGTTCCTCCCTCTACTTCTCTCTTTGTTGCAGACCCCCCAACCTGAGCAGTCATCCCCTGCTAAACTATGG